TTCAAGGTACTCATCAAACTAGTTCACTTCAGAATTTGAAGTTTTACTTAGTAGCTTCAGTTGTGGTTTAGCAAACATTATCGGTAATTATAAAATTTAATATTCCTTACCTTTGTCTAAAGAAATCTTTTTGCGAATAAAATAAATTATAATAATTTCGCCTTTGAGTAGAATTGTGGCATCAGAATATCGGGTATATTTATTTATATTAGTACCTATTTAAGAAAAAAAAAAATCTTTCTTCGTATTTACGAACCCAATAAAGCTAATTCTGTATTTTTATTTTTTTTTATAAAAGAAATTTTGATAAATTTTTTTAATATCAAATACCATAAGTATCATTATTATTTTATCTTTTAATTTCTTCTCTGATTTTTTATTCCATATATTAATCGAGTCAAATGTTTTGAATTTAGACAGCCTGTATAATGTATACCTATAACTTGTTTTTTTTTTTAAATAAACACAGTTTATTCTAGTAGTTGGATTCTAAATCTAACTTCTCTTTATCTCGATATATTTGGAAATTAGAAATTGTTTGAATACACATACCGGAGAAAAACTCCGTTGGTATGAGAAAATTCGTAGAGTAACAATTTTGATAAATAATGAACATAATTTAAACAATGAAATTTACTTTTCTGCATTATCTCCGATCAATTATTTCTATGGCAGATTTTATGTTTACCAATCCACTTTATTAAATAAACATGTATAAAACGTGTTCTGAGATTTATCAATGAAGAATATATATATATATTACATCAATTCAAGTTTTCGATTTTTTTAATAAACGCCACCATTTAGTTGAGAAATTAGGCTTGTATTAATTAATAAATTGATTAAACTCGTATTTTAATTGTCGAGGAAGTTTTGGGTGTGTTTTGCTTCGGCTGAACGTAAATCTAATATCGGCAGTGGTATGAGTTTATTATAATTATTATAATATTTTGTATATACTAATACGTTATAAAGGTTAACAATTTTAATTATAAAATTGATAGGGAGTAGAGGAGTGATTCTGGTCATGTACGCTATTGGTTTTTTGGTTGGAAGTTTGATTTAAGTCAAAGTAAGAATTTTCATTTATTTTCATTTTAATTATTTCAATTTAATTAATTATTTTCATATATTATTAGTTTGGAGTTTCGGGATCTTTTATCTGAATATGTGAACCTGGTTGAATGCATTAATTTATTTATTTTTAAAAACTTTAGGCGGGATGCAAATATATTTTGAAAAGGCATTTCTAATCCCAAAAAAAAAATGATGACATATATTTTCAGTTTTAGCTCAATTGCGTAAGTGTGAATAATAGTTCTTAAAATTGTATCTTTCAAAAAAAAATCTTTTAATTTTTGATTGATAAAATAAAAATTATTTAATCTCGCAAGTTTCCAACATATCTATTATGCAATTCAAAAAAAATGATGATTAGTCTGCCTTAGAAAATACACATAATCTTGAATTTGGTATATTTTTATTTTTATTTTTATTTTTTTTTAAAAAAAAATAATAAAATTCGCCTTAATGTTTTTAGGGAAATCCAGTTTATATCATTTGGAATTATATCAATTATTACTATTTATCATCTATTCAGTAACAAAGTTGCTGTATGAGTGAATAACCTATTAGTTGTCATCAAAGTGTCAACATTGTTTATCGGGTCAGAAAGATTATCGCACTTTGATAACATAAGTGAAATAAAATATTATAATTATGCCAGTTCAACGATAAAGGTTTGTTTAGATAATTATTTCTTTTTTTTTTTCAAAGAAACAATAATATTTATTTTCCTTTTTCAAGGTCCTATTTGCTTATTAAGGATAGAATACTTTTAATTGTAATTTACCATTATTATTTTATTTTATTTTATTTTATTTACGGTTACTACTTTATTTCTAATATTATATTTTTAATGTTTTTTGATTCTTTGGATGAAATGCGCAATCCATAAGAATTTCAAACCAAATCATCTTCAGATTCAAATTATTCACGTTTCTATTGTCCTCTATCTTTTATCCCTCGTGCACCTTTCTCACGAATGGATAGAATAGTTTTATATAATTTATTAACAGAGAGAAGAATTGGTCTTTTTTACGAGTTTGAGAGATCTTTGTCAGCAATGAGATGCAAAAAAAAAATTATTACAACATACAATATTAATATTATAATATAACCTGCCTGTAAGCAAAATACCCACAATTTTAAAAATTATCTAAATTTATTACGGAAAAATTGATATAATACTATATATTATATATATTATATATTTTTTAAAAGAATGTTCTTTGCTTCTAAAACCTTAAAAAAGGAAGAGAAAATAGAAAAAACACTTAGTATTAATTTCTCTATTTGCCACCTTTTATCTATTACCGAAAAACGTGCGACAATAAAACCCATAAATAAAATCTATTTTTATTTAAATTATTTTATTAATTAAATTTAAATCATTTGAATCTTTGTTGAAAAATTAATAAAATAATATTAGTTCAAAAAACTAAATAAATAAATGATTTATTATAATCAATTTATAATTCAAACAAAAAGCATTATTTGAATCATAAGTAGTACATTTCTCTGATGAAATGCGCATTTATAATTTGGTAGGATGAAATTAAATTATTAAAAATTGTAGATAATTATTATTAACTACAATTATGATTTGATAACTATAAAAAAAAATCATAATCATAATTAGATATTATAATTTCAGAAATAAATTAAATACTTACTTAAATAAATGGATCGGGTAATCTTAGTTGAAGATTTCTATTTTCTTGAATTATATTATCTAAATGTCTTGATAATCCCTCAACTGTCTGTACAGCAGAAGTATTAAATGATCGAACATTAAAATTCAATAAAATTAATATTTTCTTCTACTGTATGCGTATTTATATCAGGAATAATATGATGAATTTGTTGTCTTTGATCTTGGAGATCTCTATGTATCAGATTATTATTATTATTATAAATTTGTTCAATTATATATAACAATGTTAATAAATTAAATACATACCCTGCTGCAATGTAATATAATCTTTCTAACTTTGTTTGCCAAGTAATTTCGTCAATAGTTCTCCTTAAATCCTAAAGATATGGTTAGTGATTTTTTAAGTGTGCTATCTTGATTTTTAATTGATTATTATTTCTTGATGCAACTAATATTCATTAAATTGATTTTATAAATAAATAGATATCTTAATGTTCTAATTATTTTATTATACAATGCTACTATATACAGATTTTTTAAACGTTACCTTTATTTTTATTTATTCCATCTTTATTCAAATAGCATTGTTTACTACATCACAACCAATATTTTATAATTTAAATTGAGAATATTAAATCCAATTTATTAATTCACTTGACTCTGTCCTGTCTTGACCTTTCGAGATTCAGTTTGTCGCTTTGTGTCTTGGTATCAGTTATTGATTGGTTTTTGCTTTTCTCTATTTCGATTATTAGATTCTATACTGCAATAACATCTGTATTTCATTAAATTATCAAGTGATTCTTTGTGTTTATTTATATTTTTCATTGAAATTTTAATGCAAGTTTATTATTTGATTCTATTTTCAATGATTTATTAAAATCCTCATCAGATTTTTCTGACAATAGATAAGCTTCCTTGTAATCTCAATGCAAGAACATTATTGGTTCTATTTCTAATAAAGAATTTATTAAAATATATGAATGCATAACCTTAATGTGAGATAATTATTTGGTTCTATTGATAATGATTTGGTTCTATTGATAATGATTTATTAAAATTTATTAATGCTTTTCTAACTTTAATATTAAATAAGTATTAGTGCTTCAAATTTTTTGGTATGCTCCCTCGTGATCTTAATGCAAATAATAATTTATTAAAATTCATTAATGTTTCATTATAATTTTAGTTTTATAATTATTTCTAATGAAGCGTTCTATTTCTAATAATTTACTAAATTCATTAATTGAATTCTTGATGAAAAGTATGACTTGGATTAGTTTCAGTAGTCTTTCAAGGCAAGGTTAAATTTATTTTGATAAAAGATCTAGGTTAAATCTATTAAATCTATTAAATATGTCTTGAGTAACAAAATAATTAAAAGATTTAGCGCGTACATAGCATAGAAAGTTCGGGAAAAATTCTATTTATATTTTTAGATTTTTTATATATATATTTTTAGATTTTTGTACGAGCGGAAATTATTTAATTAATTTTCTCCGATGATGATTAAAATCGTAAAAATTACGACTGAAATGCTAAAATAAGTAAAAATAAGATAGTTATTATGGTTACTACATTAATGAGTCAAGAAACAAAAAAAAAAAAACTGTACAGATAATCATATGGATAAAGTGGTACGATTTTTATCCGGAGGGAAACTCCGATGACGAACCGGGCAAAAATTTAAAATTCTGGTGTTCAGTAATTCATGTTGTGTATTGTAAAGTTCCCAAGTCAAGCGTAAAATCATTACCGCTTTGTGTTATAATTGTTTTCTATATTTAAATTTTTTGAGTAAATATATATATCAACTATTTTTTTGAGAGTAAATTCTAATTTTACATTCTTTTACAGTTCGGTCTTTTATTCCGGAATTCTCTATAAAAAGATATTTCATAAATTCAAATGTTTTAAATATCTTACATATTTTACGTAATATAATAAATTTAAATAATTATTATATAGCTAACTATTGCCTTTCTTTATCAAGAAAATTTATTCATTATTATATTTCCTTTTATATCTTTTTCTTCGCTTTCATTTATTTTTTAATCACTGCACAACCATTGGAAATCAATCGGAAATCATTCATTCGATTGATTAACTTAGCTTACAAATGATATGACAAAGTACATATTAAATAATAAATACAATACATCCTACTTTTTTTTTTTAAGAAATTTCTTTAGCTTCTCAAAATTTGGTCATTTTTTATTCCTTAAATATTGGTATATATTTTTATAAGAAAATCTTGATAGTATCTTAATAATATTCTTTCACAATGAGCAGCACTTTTTGTGACGTTACGGTATTTCATATTTAATTTTTTATTATATTTTTTTTTTTCATTTGATAACTATTTTTTAACATTTCTCTTCTAATTATCATTTGATTATCTTTTGATTATCTTTTGATTTCTCTTTAATTCTTTATATTTTTTTATTCTTCTTTATTAGCCTGAAAGCAGTATATTGAATCGAACAAGACCAAACCATAACGCAGAAACTTCACCCATTGAAAGACGGTATACCAGTTATAATGGTCTCAATAGTAATGGTAAAAATCAGAATAATCATTTTCGCGAAGATAACAGACGCGAAGATAACAGGCGCGAAGATAATAGACGTGAAGATAATAGACGTGAAAATAATAGACGTGAAAATAATAGACGTGAAGATAATCATTCCAGATCGAAATTATCTTTTTTAAAATTTCCTAAATCAATAAATCCAACGAATGCCAAAGCGCTTAGAGCATTAAAAGCTAAGGATTACACACAAGCATTAAAATATTTAAATGAATTAGTTCATGATTATCCGGATAGTTATAATGTAAGATGTGATCGTAGTGAAGCTCATTTTCATTTGGGAAAGCTAGAATTCGCGCGGCGTGATGCTGCTTCTGCTATGAGTAGAAAGCCCGAAAAATCACGTGCGTACTATATTCGTGGTTTTGTTTATGAAAGAGCGGAAATGTTTCCTGAAGCTTTGAACGATTTAAATAGTGGATTAACTAGGTCACCAAATGATCCAAATGCTTTTGAAGCTTTAAAAATTTGTGCCAAATTATATTATCAAAATGGTGATTTAGATCAAACAATTGATAAACTAAATGAAGCTTTAAAATTTGAACAACGTGATTCTTGGATTCTTCAAACTCGAGGAGAAATTTATTTTGATCAAAAAAAATATCAAAGATCATTAGAAGATTTAAAGAATTTATTAGAAATAGAACCCAAAAATCAACGTGCATTAATATTAAAAGGGTTAATATTCAAAAAATTTAAAAGATACAGTGAAGCCCTTACAGATTTTGATCAGGCACTTTTCGTGGATCCCATGAATACAGACTTATTAATAAATCGAATCAGAGTACTTTTAATATTAGGAAAATATAAAGAAGCACAATTAGATATTGATAAATTATTTAAAAATGAAGGGATGAAATTAAATAAGGCAAAGGTTTTAAAACTTCGAGGTATAATGTTTAAAGGATTAGGCAGATTTAAGGAAGCAAGAGAAGATTTTACTAAGGCATTGGAAATTAAAGAGAAAGCATCTACTTATCGTTATCGATCACAAATACATGTGGTATTAAAGAATTTAGAAGCGGCCTTGTATGATTTGAATTATGCATTAAGACTTGATAATGATGATAAAGAAGCGGCCGCTTTGAAAAATAAAGTTTTATCTCAACTTAAAAAGTAATATTTTTTATTTAAATATATGTATTTATTATTTTTTATTTTTTATTTATTAATATTTGGCATTTAATTTAATTTAAATTATTATTATTTTTTTTTTTTTTAGATTTAATGAAGCGTTAATGGGATTAAACAAAACATTAGAATCAAATCCTTACGATATTTCCGCATTATCTGAACGAGGTTGCGTATATCTTTCAATGAAAAGATACGACGAAGCATTAACGGATCTTAATGTAGCACTTCAAAAACAACCTAAAACGGTTCGTGCATTATTAATACGAGCCAAAGTTTATCGAATTAAAAATCATTTTACTTTATCATTAGCTGATTTAAATACGGCATTACAAGTTGAACCTAGAAATGCTCAATTAATTCGAAATATTGGTAAAGTTTATACATTAAAGAATGATTATAACAAAGCCATTTTAAATTTGGAACGATCCATTAGTATAGAACCACATGCGTCAGCTTTGAGATATCGAGGAATTTCTAATTCTAAACTTGGAAATTATCAAAATTCCATTAATGATTTCAATCAAGTACTCATAATGAAACCATCAAATTCTAATGTTTATTATGATCGAGGAGAAACGTATTATAAATTATTAAATTATTCGAAATCTTTAGAAGATTTAAATAAATCTTTAGAATATGACGAAAATATAAATTCACATAAATTAAGAGCCAAAATATATGAACAATTAAAAGAATATGAAAAATCACGAAATGATTTAGATCACGTAATAGACGCTTATCCAACAGATACGAAATCAATTTTTTCACGAGCTCAAATGAATGAAAATTTGAAAAAATATCAAGATAGTATTAATGATTTATCTAAAGTAATTATGATTGAAAAACAATTAAAAAATAATAATAATAATTATAATAATTATAATAATAATAATAATTATAATAATAATAATGATCTTCATAAAGCAGCTGTTAAATTTCGAGGAAAATTATTAATGAAATTAAGTAGATATGAAGAAGCATTAAAAGATTTTAAAGAATTATTAGAAATTGATGAAAATGATATTGAAGCGATAGGATTGAGAGCGGAAGTTTATCAACTATTAGAAAATTATACATCAGCGTTGGTAGATTTAGATAATGGAATTAATAATAAACAAGGAAATAAATGTTGGTTATTTGTAATAAGGGGAGGAATATATCGAGAACAAAAGAAATTTGACGAAGCATTGGTAGATTTGAATAAAGTAATGCTCATAAGTCAATTCAAAAATGCGGAAGGAAATGGAAAAGGAAAGGAGAAAGCGACTGACAAAGAAATGGAAAATTCCAATTCATATGATCGCAAAGCGCATGCAACAGCATTATGTTATCGAGGATCAATAATGAGAGAATTGAATAAGGCGAAAGATGCATTAAATGATTTAAATGAATCGTTAAGTATTGAACCATCTAATCCTTTAGCATTATGTGAGAGAAGTTCTATATTTAGGGATTTCGGTAGATATGATCAAGCATGGGAAGATTTAGAAACTATATTAGATGGTGATGATGATGACGATGATGAATAAGAAAGTGATGGGGAAAGATTTTGGAAGCGAAGAGAACAATCTAAATTTTAAGTTAATTTTCAATCATTTTTATATAATTATTCAAATTAAATAATCAATATAAATAATCCATATAAATATTCAATATAAATATTCAAATAAATTGGGTAGGAATAAAATTTAAATTGGGAGGGTGAATTAAAAGTAAGTTCATATTATTCAATTGTATCATTGAATTATCAAATGTATTATTGAGCATATATGTTTTTACATTTAACTGCGTTTTTGTTTATATTGTATATTTTTTTAAATAAAATTAAAATTTCATAATATATTTTTTCCTTTAATATATTATAATAATAATCAATTAATACAAATTCTCTTTTTCTCTTTCTTGTTCTTTTTTCTAACTTGGCTTGGAAGGAAATTAATTTTTTTTTTAAAAAATTATTAATTAAAACGATAAGTATAATAAATAAATAATACCGAACCATAATAAATAATAGTAAAATAGTAAATAAAAGATAATAAATAAATAATAATAAATAAATAAATAAATAATAATAAAATAATACATCATATATTTTATACAATTGCACTGTGACTAATAAATATTAAAATATTTTTATACACATTTTGTACTGTAGCTAATAAACAATTATATATAAACATATCGTGTATATATCGATATATATATCAATATAATTACTTCATTCTCAAAAATCCTCTCACATTCATCAAAAATCTAAACAAAACTTCTCGAAAACCTGAAACATCTCTTCGACGAATTAATACTTCAGGAAGGGTTTGTGGAATAGCAGAAGATAATGTAGAAAATGCTTCGTGAAGTCTGGTTTGAATTTCTGGTGATGTTTGTCGTGATATAATGTTTTGTACCAAAGTGTTATATGATTCCTAATTAATTAAATCAATTTGAACAATTTTGTCATAATATTATATTAATAATGATAGATGTGTAATAATAGAAATAAAAGTAACAATATAAATATATTAATATTAATAATAAAATAAATTCTTAAATAATTACTTTTCTAGCACATATCAAAGCAATTAAGGTTTCGGAAGCAGGTTCCAATAATTCCGCTTCAAAATCTTTAAATAAGAAACATTCCAGAACGATTTGTAAGAATTTATCAAGTGGAATGCATAAATGTTGAACAACGGCTTCCCCTTTTTTACGTTCTTCGTTATGTGCGTAAAGAGCTAAAGGTGTTATAGCATGATATGACAAACGAGCTACTTCATACATTGAAGTAATTATTTATTTATAAAAAAAATTAAGGAAGGAATTAAATCATTAAAATAAATGAATTAATTAATTTAAAAAATAAATAAAAAAAAAAAAGGATATTTTTCAATTCCGTATTCCAAGGAAGCATAAATATTTGTTTGTAATTCAACCGAGAGATTTCCCAATTTATGAGCATAAAATTCTACTAAATTTGAAATTAATCTTATATACTCTTTACATAATCGAGGAATCTGTTAATATTTAAATAAACAATAATATAAATTAATTATTAATTATTAATTATTAATTATCATTGATTTGTTATCATTGATTATTGTAATTCATTAAAGCAAAAAAAAAAATATAATAATAATAATAATAAATAAAAAATAAATGAAACGATGATTATTAATTAATTTAATATTTTCCTTTAACATATTAATATCAATCAAGGGTATTATAATATTAACACCATAAAATATAACATTTGAAATATCAAATCCTTCAGTTGTTGCAATTTCTTTTGATAAATCATCAAAAGCTGAAATATATATATATAATAAATGATTAATAAATAATAATAATAATAATAATAAGAAACATTAATTTATTTTAATATATATAATATATAATAATAACAATAATAATAAATATTAATATATATTAATAGATATTAGTAAATAATAATAAATAACGTACAAAGTCCCTGAAATTCAGCTGCCATGAGTTCAGAAAGCATATCTAATATAATTGATATATCAGCATATGGTTCATCTTCTTCTTCAGCCGCATCAAGTCGTTTTTTACCTATAAAAATATTATAAAAATATTAATAAATAATAATAAAAATATTAATAAATAATAATGATGATAATAAATATTAAATAAATATTAATATATTTTAATAAATATTAAAAGTTACCCAAATTAACAGAAGAATAAGCTTCAAATAATTCCACTATAGTTTGATAAATTAATTTTAATTGATCTTTAGATAATTCACCAAAATCTTGAAACATCACAAATGAATTAAAGAATTGTAACACCAAGATTCCCACTTCAGGACAACTTTGATAATAATGTAATAATTTCACCATGAAATCAAAATATTTAGAACAAAATGAATAAATAAGTTGGGTATTAGAATAATTTGATGCTAACGCTAAACCATCAAACATCTACAATTTCAACATATTAATATTGTTAATATTGTCAGTTAATATTGTATATAAAGAAATCATTAGTTAATATAAATAATTACCTCTAAAGCATTTTGAACTTCAATCATGACATCAGGTTGTTGATAAACATTATCAAAATCTGGTCGTTGTAATACAGCCAAAAAACGTCTCTATAATATCAATAATATCTATTTTATTAATATAATTAATAATATCTAAATTTAATTAAATATTACGAAATAAATAAATAAATAAATATTAATTACCTCAATTGCGTTAGTAATCATTTGAAAGTATTGATGTTTTAAATCTTCATCCGAAGCACCTGATGTTATTATAGTTATTGTCTGTATTAATGAACTATTGAAAGAAAAATAAGATATATATTAAATTTAATATAATCTAATTAAATATAATTAAATTATTCTCATTAAATATACTTGCTTGTGAATCATTTGTGGAAAATGATCAAGATTTACAGTAAAGAACGTAAGTAAGTCCGGAAAATTATCTACAAATTAAAATAAAAGAATTAATAATTATAAATAATCTTATAAAAAAAATCTTATATATAATATTAAATATTATTTAACAACGATAATAATAATAAATTTATAAATACTAATTACTTGAGTGTAATAAACCATTTCTTAATGATGACTTTTTACCATAAGAATTTAATAATTTCACCATCTAATTTGATATTAATCAAGTAATAATAATAATTAATATATGAATAAATTAATACATGAATAATTAATACATGATTAATTAATATATGAATAAACAATAACAATATAATAAAATAATAATATAATAATAATAATATTATTATTATAACAATAAATATAAAAACCTGTAATAATGGATCAGAATCACTATTCCAAAGAATAAAATTGGTCTTTATCTTGCCAATTAAATATTCCAAAATATTTTCACCTTCTCCTTGTGACTCACGTTTTCCAAACGCACGAACTATATTAATACTTTATACATAAAAATATTTAATTAATATTTAATTCATATTTAATAAATAATTAGTACTTATAATAAATAATAAATAATGAATAATAATAAGATATTATAATTAATACTTTATAATAATGATAATAATGATAATGTGATAATAATTATGAAACTATATGATAAAATATAAATTTTTACCTTATAGACGAGTAATCAGATTCATCAATTAATAAATAAGTTTTTCCCCATCTTTCAAAAAACCAAAATAATGTTTCGGTTACTCGAGGGCTTAAATAATTATTAATTTCAACAGTTGAACTATCTTTTGATACAATATTTAAGATTTCTGAAATTTTATTTACAAGTAACACTAATTGATCATGATTTTTTCCGAGATTTCTCTAAAGATAAATATATAAATTTTAAAAGATTTAATTATTATATAAAAATGAAATATTTTATACAAATTTAAAATATAAATCGTATAAAAATATAATAATATAATTATAAATAACATTCACCTGAGAAATAGATAATTGCATTAAAGCATCAGGAACAAGTGGTTGTTCACCTTCACCAGCATCAGCCAATAAAGATGCTGATATTAAAATTAACCAATGAATTGATTCTTGAATATATGTGATCGTAGTAAAATTAGGTGATGGTACTTGATTGTCTCCAATTATATCAAAAAGTGCTTTTAATTGAGTCGATCTTTCATGTAACAATATTTGAAGTTTGTCTAATACTCTTTGTCCCACCGTACGAGCTAATATTGCGATACTAATTAATTGATCCCCATATGTATCCTATTTATATTCATAAAAAATATGATTGATATAATATAATTATATTAATGATTCTTATATAATTATTATAATAATAATAATAATAATAATAATAATAATTATAATAATAATAATAATAATAATAATAATTATAATAATAATAATAATAATAATAATTATAATAATAATAATAATAATAATAATAGCTTGATACACTTGTACCCGAGTCACGATTATACACGGAACTTCAAGAATTCGAGAAAAGATTGGATACCACAATTATGAGAAAAAAAATGGAAATTACCGAATCACTTTCTAAACCTATGAAGGTAATAAATAATTTATTGTTATTATTATTATTATAAATATTATTACATATATGATTATCATAATTAAATATTTCATGATAATTAATAATTTTTAGGTTAAGAGAACTCTTCGTGTGTTTATATCAAACACTTCATCAAATCAACAACCTGTTCAAAGTGAAGGAACTGAACTTGATTATAATGATGCAAGTAATATTCCGGCTTGGACATTAAAAATTGAAGGAAGATTACTTGATGTAAATAATTATTATCACATATATATATATAGATTTATTCATTTACATTGAAATATACTCATATTTTATTCATGATATTTATTTATAGGCACCAAATGCACCAAAAACTCCTAAACCTAATACACATAAATTTTCTCATTTTTTCAAATCTGTTATTGTTGAATTAGATAGAGATCCAGAAGCATATCCTAAAGGAAATTTAATAGAAGTATGAATTATTATTATTGTATTATTTGGTATAATAATAATATTATTCACTCATTATTATAATTATTAATGATAATAATCAATTAATCAATTATAAATCTTTAATTATAATTATTAATAATAATAATCAATTAATCAATTATAATATTGATTAATTAATTATAGTGGAATAAAACTCCAGATTCAGATGAAGTGGATGGATTTGAAATTAAACGTAAAGGAGATGTTAACCTTAAAGCTAAGATTTTTTTAAATCTTGATCAACAACCTCCTAGATATAAATTATCACCAGAATTATCTGAAATTTTGGATTTACAAGAAGAAACTAAATCTGGAATTATTATGGCTTTATGGCAATATATAAAAGTAGGAATACATATACATATATATATATATATATACCAAATATTGCCTTTAATATTGTACAGAAATTTCTTATATATATATATATATATATAAATCACTTTTTTATATATTAATTTTATGATAGCATAATAATCTTCAAGATAATGAAGATAAAAGGATTATAAACAACGACGCGCGATTAACTGACGTAAGTTCACTTAATTAGTTATTCTAATTATTATTGTAATGATATAATAATAATAATAATAATAATAATAATGATTATGATGATGATGATGATGATGATGATGATAATGGTGATAATAATGATAATAATAATATTATTAGGTTTTCAAAATTCCTCGAATAGCATTTCCCCAAATTCCCGAATTAATTAATCGACATCTCTTACCTTTTGATCCCATGGCCATCGATTATACGATTAGAGTTGATAAAGAATATCATCAATCACGATATGCTTATGATATCGAAGTGGAAATTGATGATCCCAACAAAGCCAAATTGACTTCAATTGTAACGAATGTTGTTAATCAGAAGGAAATTCAAATTTTAGATGATAAAGTTTGTTATCATTATTTATTATTTTATTAATTAATATATCCATATATTTTATCATAATCAAACTTAATAATAATAATATTATTATTATAACATAGATTGTACAATGTGTTCAAAGTATCAATAATTCAAAAACAAAACGTGACTTTTTGTTAAATTTTGCAAATTCTCCAGTAGAATTTATTAATAAATGGGTGGCCAGTCAAAGTCGTGATTTGGAGGTAAATGATTCTAATTTAATTTAATTAATTTAATAAATTTAATTAATCTAATTTAATTTGATTAATTGGATTTAATTTAATCTAATTTTATTAATTAGGTCATTATGGGTGAAAGTAAAGTTAATCTCGAGGAACAACGACGATCGGAATTTTATCGTCAGAATTGGGTTAATGAAGCTATATTTCATTATACTGCGGCACAGGTAGGTTAATTAATTAATTAATGAGTTAATTAACCCAATTTTAATACAAAATTATTAACATTATGATAATTTATTATTATTTTTATTATTATGATTATTATTATTATTATTATTATTATTATGATTTTAGAATCAAAAAAGAATTCAGGACTTGATGACTAATAGTAATAATAGTAATAACCGAATGGATCATAGATTATTACAAAATAAATAAATAAATAAATAAAAAGAGAATTAAAAAAAGATAAATAAAAGGATAATTGTTTGGCAAGGGTTATGGGTAAAGAATTGTTGTTTCGTCTATAAGTGATCTTTTCCCCTGAAAGATTTAAATAATTATAAATAATTATAAATAAATAAATCAAATAAAGAATAATTTGCAATTTGCATTTTATTTATTGGTGAGATTGAATGATTTATTTATTTAAAAGTATAATATTTATTAAATAATAGGTGAATAAAAGATAATATGTGGTGAAATAAATATATATAAATAAAATAAGTAAAATATTGGATAAAAAATAAATAAAATAAAATAAATGCATTTGTGATACATAATAATTTGGGATCTGTGATTATATCAAGTTAGTATGATTCATTAAGTGCATAATTTCGACTGTTCCCATTATATAAATTTAATTTATATTTGGCTTCATTTAGTGTAGCATACTTTTACATTTAATTAAGTATAAAAGTGTGCACGATTTGTACTATTTGGTTACACCCACAGAATTTGTGAATAATTTTCGTTGGAAGAAGAAATTTATAAAGATGAACTTCTCTGAATTCTTAGAATGGAATTTGGTTGTTGAAAAGCCTTCTTTTTTCGTTGTCATTTCACATCTCACATTATCTATCAAAAAAATTTTTTTTTTTTAAAAAAAAATAAATAATTTTTACATTCCTTTTTATTATTATAAAACGTATAAAAACTCATCATCATTGTGACATTGTGATATTATTGTTGTAAATTCTTTTTTCTTGTTTATTCTTTTAATATATTATAAAAAAAAAAAAAAAAAAAAAAATTGGTAATAATTGTTCTTTCTACATTTTATTTATTTTTTTTTTGAAATATTTTTAAATTACCTTTATCACAATTATTTCTTTTTAAACAGATTAATAATATTAAATCATTTTTTTTTATTCATATTTATTTCCGGTCTCATTTTATAACAACAAAAAAGCAACGACGACACTTATAATTTACAATTACATATCACAAATTACATTATTACAATAACGAAAAAAAAATTATAACGAAAAAAAATTATAACCAAAAAATATTACGAAAAATAAAAAACACCGAAAGAGAGAAAAAGATGTTTAAAAAGATTAAATCTCAATATGAAATATGGAAAATTAACAAATACACTCGTCGTCGATCCGCCATGGGTCCGGAGTTCGAACAAAAAGATCCTGATTATTATAAACATAATTATGTGAATGGAGTTTATTTAAATACCACATCAATTATGTCATCATCATCATTACCAACCGATGATTTCAAAAGAAATTCTCGAAGATGTAGTAATCATCATAACAGAAATAGTGGTCATAATAATTTTAATCGAAATAGTAATAGTCATAATAATAGAAAAAACAATAATCAAAAGAATGCCAGATGTAGTGAATTTTATAATTCTTCTTGTTATTAATTCTTTTATTAATTTAAAAACGTAAATTTCGAAATTATTATTTCTATCATCATAATCATAATCATTAATTATTATGATTATTTCGATTCTCTCTTCATTTATTTTATTTTATTTTTATTTTCATTTTTTTTTATTTCTAGTAACTTATTAAGTTATTTAAATTATTTTTTTCAATGTCGAATATTCTTAAAATATTCTCCAATTATAATTCTCTCTCATCTTTTTTTTTTCACTATTTCATTGTCCTCCCTCTCTCTCTCTCATAGTCATTTCAATTTAATTCAATTCATTTGTAATTAGGAATTTTTGGGACGGTTATATTTTGGGTTTTTTTTATTATTATATTTATATTTATTATTTTTGATTTTTTTTTTTTATATGTAAATAAAATTTTATTGTGTCACGAGCATTAGTTAAAGAGATGAATGATTGGCAAAAACTGTTGTAGTACCTAAATTTAGAGTGTAATTGAAATCTACCAAATCGTTACACAAACCAGGAATTATTATATGTATAAAAAAAATTATTTTCTCTATAGAAACGTCGATCCTGGAAGTTTAAGTTCCTTAACATTAATACCGTGCAGACAAAATATTTTTATTTGAATCGGATCACTGATAATTACATATTTTATTTTAATTTCAAAAAATTAATAAACCTTAAATCTATTTGATCGAATTTAAGAAAAAAATTTTTTTACAATAATAATCTTATGTGAAAATTTGTTTTTTTTGCTAAAGCTTCCTCAGAAAAGAAAGTTCCTTTTTTTAAATGATCCAAAACCAAAGGTATGAGACTTTTTTTCCTTTTATCTTTTTTTTGAATTATCTTCAAATGCCCACAGTAACCATTGTAAATCGCTCACTAAAAATATTTTAGAGAATTCTTCCTCGACATTTTCCAATTGTGCCCAGACCCGAAGCTGATTTAATCCTAGTGTAGGATCCTTTGGAATATTAGATTTTTTTAATAGATGTTAATTTATTTTCATTTTTTTTAATATCAATTCTCATTGTTTAAAGATTTTCCCTAAGACTCGAAGTGCCTTTTTCTGGAGTAAGTTCATTAAATCTTCAAGATTTTTGTCTACTCTTCATAAATGTGAAAATAATTTTATCATAGAGAAATCTCTTGGTTTCTTCCGTTATTTCATATTCTTCTGTATTTTTAGAATTATTTGCAAAAAGCATTTGGTTGGAAATACATAAAATTTAAAAAATCTTGACCAGGTGTTATATTTGTTGTTTGAATTCGTACATCCCATTCATATACAATTTGTTCCGAGCTTAAAACTTTAAGATGAGCACTCATTGCTTCAAATTTAGGATGTGATTTCATTGTATTACTTTTGATTAGTTTATAAATAATCCATCCAACAATATAAACAAATTTTGATGCTTCAGCTGGTTCTAAATTAATATTATCTCCGGATATTAAATAAAGATCTACAGTAAGATATATATTTTGTTTCGTATTTTCATTGAATGTAAGTTTGATTACATTTTGGAAAAGTAAAAAATGCAACAAGTCTTTGAGTCGAAGTACCATTTAAGTGAGTTGCTTCAAGAAAATCCTGATACCAAACTCCCGAACATCGATAATTATTTAAATAAACTTCAAGATGAAAACTTGAAAACTCCAATTTGCCATCCATTTAATCCCTATTTTTTTGGAACTGATTTAACAGCCATCTTTTTAATATTGGTTTACCAATATTGTAACATCTTATCAATGGATTTTAAATAGAAAATGTTCTCCAATAAATTGTACTGTTGATTCTGAACACAAAGAATATTAAGGTTTTCTTGTTTGACATTATCATCATATGTTGTACAAGGAATCTCGATCTCTTCCATAACTACTTTATCTGCAAAAAGATTTTTAAAAACTTTGCAAGAAAGAGTTGATATTTTTGCTAATTGCTTAGAATGTTTTTGAAATAAAGAAACATTTTCTTTTTTTTTTCTATTAAAATTTTTTTATCTTTTCGATAATCTCTATTGTAATAAAATATATAATATTTAAATAATTTAATTATTAAATAAATTTAATATATATAACACCTCACCTTCTTTTTAAAGTAGTAATTCCTGTTCCAATATTTTCTACTTTCCCATAATTAATACTTTAATTTCTGATGGTACCAATGCTGTTACTTGATATTTATTTACTGCATACCCATAAGATTTAAGTGTCTGTGTTGATGAATCTCCACCTAATTCACGAATTGTTCCAAAAAATCCCTCAAGCATATCTTGTGAAATACGTTTAGATTGAATCATTGCACCTGGATATTTTTTTAAAATAAATTCCAACATTTCAATAAAACCATCAATGAATGAAATTAAATCAAATTGACATTTGTGAAGAAATCCATTCTTTAATTTCAGTCTTCTGTTTATCACCATAAACAAACCAGTTACGAATTTTTTTTAAAGTAGTAAAACGTGGATCATCTAAAGAGCGGAAAATGAGTTTACTATGCATAATTTGTCTATACTTTCGTGAATATTTAATAAAATCCTATAAAAAATTTTAATTATAATTTAATAAATAAATATTATAAAAATTTATAATTTTAATATTTAAATTTACTTACTCGAGTTTTATCTGATATATATTTAAGTTCATCAATGGATTCTAAAGCATCTTCAACTTCTTTTGATAATGTTTGTTCTGTAAGATCAATACGTATTTTTGACCATATATGTCGTTTTGTTAATTTTGTTGCTTTTGATGTAGCATGTTTACTTGTATGTTCATAAACTCCTTTAATATGTTTCTAACTGATTTCTTTATTTTCAAACATTATTTCTCGAGAATTTTTTTCACCGGTATGACTTTTTGATAGGTTATTTCTTAATTTTTTGAAAACATGTGTAGGATCAGAAATAAAATACCAATCATCTCCTTGTAATCAGATTTATTGTTTTGTGATATATTTGAAATTCTGGAAACATAGGTGTAAGAATAAATGCTCTATCAACAGTAATACATTCAAAACTATTTTGTTAATATTACTGTAAATTTTGTTCTTTCAAGATTACTATTTAAAATATTTGCTGATAAAAATGTTTTTTTTTATCTTTATTAATATTGACTTCTACAAAATCCCCACATGATAACTTAATCCCAACTTTTAATATGTGTTCTATTTTCATCAGCACCATCACAAACTGATCCAATAGTTCTAATTCCTATGCATTCTAATTTCGTTGCAAGCTCAAAAATTATTGTATTTAAATTATGTGCTGTTATATTATTAATACCATAATATGAAATCGGGAATGAAAAGTTGAATGCCAAACAATTTGATGAATTTGTGTTGCAAGTTCACATTTTTGTTCATTAAATACTAAATTATTATTTTTAAATATTGATTCAATTTCTTGTTGACAATTTAATGTAAAAGTATGATACTTATGCATTTCATCCTCAAAATCTAAATAACCCACATAACAATTTTCTCGTTGACTCCATAAAAGACCTATTTGAAATATTTTTATTAAATTTTTATATAAATTATTTAAATAAAATTATTTTTAAAATAAATATTATTCTAACCTTTTTGAATTTTAAAAGAATCATGTGAAAAAAAACCAATACGCCCATAACCCCAAATATTGTGAATTGACAAATTAGATAATATCTGATATGCAATCTTATCTTGCCATCCAGATTTTTGTTCGTGCTCATTAATATAACTTTTAAGTGTAGAAATTGATGGTAAACGCATAATAACCTTCATTATATTATATTCTACATGTCCAGATCGATTATAAACAGATATAGCTCATCTTAAAAACCTATAGAATTAATTCTTAATTAATAAATTTAGTTATTAAAAAAATTAATTAATTAAATTATTAAAAATATTACATCAGGTGATATCTTGTTCCTTTTGATTTTTCAGATTGAATACAAATAAGTTCTTGAAAAATAGGATAAAAATTTGAAATATCTATATTTTTATTATGAACTTTTTCTAAAACAATATGAGCTATATTGGCAATTTCACCAGAAGCTTCTTCTTCTTTTTCAACTTTCTTGTAGAGAAGATTTTCTAAATTAGAAATTAGTTTATTTTGTTTTGTAATAATTTTTTGTTGTAAATTTATTTTTTTCTGTAAGAATTTCTTTTGAAACATGCATTATTTTTGTAGGATATACTCCAGATGAATTTCTTCTTTGAATTTGTTCTAAAGTTTTTTTTTTTTAATTTAAAGCAATTTTCACATATAATATTATTTTTTACTATAAGTATACAATCTACATGTCTATATATTTGTCCATTCTTTTTCATAAAAGCAAATGGAGTATGATCTTTTTCTTTACGAACTATTGAGTACCACGAATTTGCACTACATCTTCAAAGCCTTTAATTAGATTAAAGAGTAACAAAATAAATTAAAAAATAAATTAAAAAATAAATTAAAAAAATAAATTGTAAATAAATTATAAATTTATCAACTGTACTTTGCCCATGACATATTTCAACAGAAAAAACATAACAGATAATATTGATAATGTCATTAAGTGTTCTTTTTATTGCTTCAATTGGAAAAGGTAGATAAATATATTGTACCACTTTATTAAATACACGAACTTCATAATTATGTAATCTACTTTTGGAAAAAATTAATAATTTTTTTTCAGGTTGATTCTCTTTTGTAGGAAATTTAAATTCTAGTCCTCCGGAAATTTCTTGTACAAATGTTCCAACAAATTCACCTCTTGGTAAAATTTTTTGCTGAATATGTGAAAGAATATCTATAGTATTTATTTAAGAAGTTGTTTTCCAATATGGTATATGATCGGTAGAATTTAAAATTGATGCAATTGATTAGTGAGTAGGATTTGGTTCCAAAAAAATAGTTGCAAGTGAAGACCTTTTTCCTTTAAATAATCTTTGATTCTTTAAACAATTTATCCATTTAAAAAATGTATCAAAATTTTGATTACTTTTAATACAATATATTTATGCTCTATTCTCTTTTCTATTGTACATAATAATGCCTTTAAAATACTTGTCTAAAGTTGGAAAAAAATAAATTTCTTTGCCTTTAAGATCAGATCAAACATTTATTAACTCTTGTAAAGCCTCAATCTTTTTTTGTTTTTTTTTTGAAGAATTATTTTCATTTAAAAATCTTTTCTATGACTTAAAAATAATATTTTTTACTAAAAAAAAAATCTTTAAATAATAATTTAAAAACTTTTTTTTTTACCATTTTAAATGAAAAGTTAAAATATTAAAATAGTCGATCATATTTTTTAGAAGGAAGAAAAATAAAACTTATACGCGTACATTGTTAAAAATAGCGGTAAATAATTTTATCGTGTAACTAGGATAAAAAATTTTTTAATGGTTAATAATATTACTTAATAATCTTCAAATTATTAATGATCACCCTAAATTAAAATATATATGTGTCCCCCCTCTAAATTTATCTATCCCCTAGGTAGTACAAAATGAATGACAGATAAAAGATTTGAAGACAATATTATTATTATATTATATTTCGAAAAAGTTCATTATATAATCTTTTAACGTTATTATATTATCTATCTATCAATCATGAAACTCGTAAGGTTTGTTGGTTCTGTAGAGAATAATTTATTATAATCATAATCTTTTTTTTTTTAAAAACTGTTTTAATCTCAACAAATAAAGTCAGTATTATCATTATACTCTTTATTTGTTATTATTAAAAAAATAAGATTGTTTTTTTTTTTAAAAAAAAAAAAAATTTGTCGTCATTAACTTGATTGATTGATTATAGATTTTTAATGAAATTAAATAATGAAACTGTTACAATAGAATTGAAAAATGGAACCATAGTTCATGGAACGATTACTGGTAAGATTTTCCTAGATCTCATAATAGATCTATAAATGAATCTATAATGAATCTATACTTCAAAGATTTGATTAATTCTAAATAATCTATTCCCACTATTATTATTATTATTTATTATTTATTTATTATTTATTTATTATTTATTATTATCATTATATTTATGATTATTATTATTTATTATTATTATTATTTTCATTTATTACTATTATAATTATGATTATTCTCTCACATTATTTTTTCATACATCTTTTTTTTCGAAGGAGTTGATATGAGTATGAATACTCACCTTAAAACCGTTAAAATGACAGTAAAAAACAAAGATCCTACCAATTTGGATTCTTTAAGTATTAGAGGTAATAATATTCGATATTATATTTTACCTGATTCACTTCCATTAGATACATTATTAGTGGATGATACACCAAAGGCTAAAGCTAAAAAGAAAGAAGGTAAAATCATTATTTATTATTTATTATTTAATTATTTATTAAATTATTTATTATTTATCATTTATCATTTATCAATTATATTTTTATAAATTATCTAATTAATTAATTATATATTTAGCTGTGGGTGTGGGCCGTGGAAGAGGTCGTGGACGTGGTGCTCGTGGACGTGGACGTGGTCGAGGGCGTTAGGATAAAAATATATATATATATTATATATATAAAATAAAATGAAATAAATATTATAATAAAATATTATAAAAATAAAAAGTTAAAAAATAAGTATAAAAAAAAGAAAAAGAAATTAACAGTATCGTTAGGACATATAATTATTATTATTATGCAAAATGGTAATTATAATAATTTTAATTAATTTTAATTATTTTAATTATAATTTTTTTCGTTCCAAAATAATAATAATAAATTTTTAGAATAAAATAAACTATTATAAATAATAAATAATAGTTCATTTACTTTAATGAGCTTTAATGAGACTTAACGTTTCATCTAACATACATTGGAGATTCTGTGTAATTTAAAAAATGTGTTTTACATATGACTATAATTGACATTACTATAATAGGAATGAATCTAAAAATCTTGTACGAAATAAGTTTAATCTAAGGTGTAACAAAATTTGATATCATCATGTTTTAAATAAATTTGGTCCCTTTTTATTTCATCAATTCACCAAAAAGAAAAAAAAATTCATTTTTTAAAATGGTAGACATATTATTAGATTTTGCGGACGAATATTTACTTGATGACATTTACGCGCGTTTCTTTCCTATTGAACTCAGAAACGCTTCTAAAATAAGTGTTGATGACCAAGAGTTTTCTTCTACCTTTTTTTCTTCTACTTCTTCACTTCCTCGTGATAATATTTTTAGACAAATTTTCTCTTTATTTGTCCTTACCACCTTTTTCGCTTACTTTTTTTATTTCTTTTTTTCAACCCTTTCTTATGTTTTCGTTTATGATAAAGAATTAATGAAACATCCCAAATTTTTAAAAAATCAAATCCGTAAAGAGATTCGACTTGCGGCTCTTGGATTTCCATTAACTAGTTTGGTTACGGTTCCTTGGTTTTTAGGAGAAGTTCGAGGATATTCCCGATTATATGAAAATATTAATGATTATGGATGGACTTATGGATTATTTTCAATTGCATTATTTTTATTTTTTTACGGATATGTGCATTTATTGGATTCATCGATGGTTACATCATCCATTAATTTATAAAACTTTACATAAGGTAAATATAAAAAAAACAGTTCAATTTAATATAATAATTATAAATAAATATTATTAATAAAAAAAAAATAATAATAATTATAATGAAAAATAGATGATGACCAATTTAGAAAAAAAAAAATATTGAAATATTTTTTAAATATTTTTTTTTTTTTTTCTGATTATAATAATAATAATAAATAATAATATAATAATAATAATAACAATAATAATAATAATAATAACAATAATAATAATAATAATAATAATGAATAATTAGGCTCATCATCGCTGGATTGGTAAGTGTAATTCTTATAATATTTTGAATATTTTGGAATATTTTTGAATATTTTAAAATATTTATATAAATTGATTAATTAACTAATTAATATTTATTTTATAGTTCCAACTCCCTATTCATCACATGCATTTCATCCATTTGATGGATATGTTCAATCTTGTCCTTATCATCTATTTGTTTATATCTTTCCTTTACAAAAATGGATTTATATAGGATTATTTGTGTTTGTTAATATATGGACAATTATGATTCATGATGGTAAGTGAATTTTTTATTTCTAATGATATTTCTAATAACTTAATTTATATCATTTTTTAACTTATTGTTGTTGTTTGTAAAAAAAAGGGGAATACATCATCACTTCCGGATCATTTATCAATGGTGCAGCTCATCATACCCTTCATCATTTATATTTCAATTATAATTACGGACAATATTTTACTATTTGGGATAAAATTGGTGGTAGTCACCGTCTTCCTGGTGAAGAACAATTTAATAAAAAATTAAGGAAAGATGAAGTGATTTGGGAAAAACAATCTAAGGAAGTTGATGGATTTGATGAAAATGGAAAAGAGAAGAAAAAAGAAAAAAATCAATGAATTACTTTATTAATATAATTAATAGAATTATATAATTATATTATATAATTATATTAAATTATTTTAATTATTTATTTATTTTAATTAATTATTAATTTTAAATTTAATTAATTAATAATTTATTTATTTTTATTTAATTCATTATTTAATTATTAATAATTAATTAATTATTTATTATTTATTTTATTAATTTTTTATTTATTTTGATTTTATGATTTAAATTAGTTTGTTATTTTATTATTATTATTATTCTTGATTCCGCATTGTCCAAGTCGCCAAATTCAGAAATTCAAGATCTTCGCATTACATTTTAACCAAATTTGCGTGCAGGTTTATGTAAAAACTGTAATAAACGCGCTTTATCATGTAAAAATGGAGATATTAAAAAAGATTTCTCCAAAAAAAAATTTCAGAAATTAAATTATTTCAAATTTTGCTTTATATTACTCACGAACTTTTATTCCAGTATCTAAAATATCTATCTATAATAATTATAATTCAACTTACTTTAATAATGCTTACTTTTAATGTTAAAAATTCTCCTTTTTTAATATCGTGAACTTTTTGTGTTACATTAAATATCTTTAAAATTCAAAATCTTCTGGAACCTTCATTTATAGAATCCGCGTTTTTTTCAAAAAAAAAAAAAATATATATATCGTTACTTATCACTACCGCAACAATACCAAATAAAACATACCATCGACATAATGGTTGGACACGGAAATTGTTCTAGAGTTTCAAATTCCAGAAGAGTTAACCAAGTTTATGTTAATTCAGGTAAGAAATATGAAAATAAACAAAATAATATAAAAAAAAATTATAACATATTTTTCATTTCTTATGAAGAAATATATTTTCATTTTATGTTCTATTTATTTTATTTTATTTTTTTTTTTTTTTTTTAATTTGATATTTGATTTAATTTCTATTGTTAAAGAAATGGAAGAAATGGCAAAGAAAATTCTTCAAAAATTGGATCAAATTGATCAAAAGTTGGAAGAAATTAATAATCAAATGGTTGGAATGAGTAATAGGTTAGAAAGAATTAAGAAACTTATTCCAAAGAAAAATATTTTGAAGATCACCTCGAAAAAATCGAAAAGGTTATAAATTCTTGACGAAAAAAAGACGAAGGCTTTTATCTATCTAAAAAGATTTCTAGAAAGTAAATAAATATTGTTTTTAACTGATTTTTTCGTAATATTTACAATTTTTTCTAAATAATAATAATGATAAAACAAATAAAAGCTCTTGAACATTTAAAGTCTATTTAGTTTAAATTTGATTATGACGATCTATAAATTGATTAAAAAAAAGAAATTTGTTACACAAACATTGTTCTCGAGTATAATGCAAATACACCTCTGTGTTGCTAAAAACAACAAAAGAAGCAAATAAACCAATTAGATTGAATATCAGACATCAGAGAGGTTATAGTAAAGTATTATAAAGAACATAATATATAAATTTTTTAGACCAATTTGGATAATGAGGATCTTGATCAAAAACGGTGATCAACAGATAAATTTCTAGATAATTTCTACATCACATGAGAGTCAACAATAAAAATTTTTTTTTATTGAATTAATTTTTTTGAACATTTAAAAAAAAAAATGGCTGAAGTAAAAAAATTAGACGAGCAATCAAAAGCTCAACTAAAAGGAGATTTTTCTATTCAACCTCAAAAAGTAACTCCCGCACTGAATACTTCTGAATGGCCGTTACTATTAAAGGTAAGATCCCATTTTTATAAACCATTTTTTTTTATATATTGATACAATTAAATATTTAAATAAAAAAAATTTATTTTTAATTTGATTTATTTATTCAGAATTATGATAAACTTCACGTTCGTACAGGACATTATACTCCTGTTACTCATGGCTGTTCACCGCTTAAACGAGAGCTTAATGAATATATAAGGTTAAAAAATGAAATTTATTTATCTTCTGAGAATGAATTTTTGAATCTATGAAAATTAATATTTTCTATTTATTTAGATATGGGATCATCAATCTTGATAAACCCGCAAATCCTTCTTCACATGAAGTAGTTGCATGGGTTCGCCGTATACTAGAAGTTGAAAAAACTGGTCATAGTGGTACTTTAGATCCAAAAGTCACAGGTTGTTTGATTGTCTGTATTGATCGAGCCACTAGATTAGTTAAATCACAACAAAGTGCTGGAAAGGAATATGTTTGCGTAATTCGATTTCATGATTCACTTGAATCCGCTAGAAAATATGCTTCGGCTTTGGAAACTCTTACAGGTGCCCTTTTCCAACGTCCACCTTTGATTTCGGCAGTTAAACGACAATTGCGTATCAGAACTATACATGAAAGCAAATTAATTGAATTTGATAATAATCGTCATTTGGGAGTATTTTGGGTTAGTTGTGAAGCCGGAACTTATATTCGTACATTATGTGTTCATTTGGGTCTTATCCTCGGTACTGGAGCACACATGCAAGAATTACGTCGCGTTCGTTCAGGCGCATTAAGTGAAAATGTAAATTGAAAAATATTTTATTTTTTTAATAATGAAATTTGGTATTGGTCATATTAAATATTTAATTTGGATGGGGTTTTTTTTTATTTTTTTTTATTTAACCAGGATGATATGGTTACGATGCACGACGTATTAGATGCAAAATGGTTGCATAAAAACACTAAAGATGGTAAATATCATTATATTTTGATTTTTTTTTTCAATATTAAAACATTTAGAATTATTTTTTAATAAAATTCTTATATATATATATATTTTGATTAAATATTTAATTAGAAAGTTATCTTCGAAGAGTTATTCGTCCACTTGAAACCCTTCTTACAACCTATAAACGAATTGTAGTAAAAGATAGTGCTGTCAATGCTATATGTTATGGTGCAAAATTGATGGTTCCAGGTTTACTTAGATATGAAGAAGGAATTGAACTAAATGAAGAAGTTGTTCTTATGACTACAAAAGGAGAGGCTATAGCTCTTGGAATTGCGTTAATGACAACCGCAGTAATGGGAACGGTAGATCACGGTAAAACATAATTTTTTTATTTAAAAAATTTGAATTAATATATATAACTTTCAATTAAAATTATTTCTTAATTTTTTTTTTTTTTTTTACAGGAGTTGTTGCTAAAATTAAACGTGTCATCATGGAGCGAGACACTTATCCAAGAGTTTGGGGTTTGGGACCTAAAGTATGAAAAATTGTACTAGAAATATGTATACAATACATTCGTGTGTCTGACTGATTTGATAAATTTTATTTATTTTAAATCAAATAGGCACAAGAAAAGAAAAGGTTGATTTCTCAGGGTAAATTAGACAAGTATGGCCGTAGTAATGAAAATACCCCTGATTCCTGGAAGAAATCTTTTGTTGATTTACGGGAAGTTGGAACTAAAAATGATACCAGTATACAAGAAGCAAGTACTACCACTACTACCAACACTACAGAACAAAAAACATTAATACAAGAAATAGAATCTTTACCTAAACAAGAAGTTGAAACGGGTTCCGCGTATAAAGTAACCAAAATTTTTTCTTTTTATTTTGAATATAAAATTATTTTCTATTTTGTTTATTTCATACGAAAATTATTTATTTATTTATTTATTTATTTTTTTTTTAAAAAAAAAACTATAAATTATTTTATTAAATTAATTATTTAGAGAAAAGCTGGTGAAGAGTCACCAGACGATGAAAAGATACCAAAGAAAGAAAAAAAGTCAAAGAAACCTAAAGTTAAAGAAATTGAATCTGAAATAGGATCACCTGAAAAAACTGTATCAATTAAAGTAATGATCTTTCTTTTTTTTTTTTTTTTTGTATTCATTGGACTACAATTCATAAATTATTTTATTTATTTATTTATTTATTATTTACTGATAAATTAAATGCAGAGAAAAAGATCGGGAGTAGTGGAAGACAATGATAATAAATTAAGTGCAGATAAAGATAAACCAGAAAGTTCAACAAAGAAAACCGAAAAATCCTCAAAGAAGTCAAAAAAAGAAAAGGCCGAATCTGTAAATATGAATATTGATGAAGATGAATCGATGCCAGAAAAAAAGAAAGTAAAAAAGGAAAAAGAAAAGGATAAGGAAAAGAAGGATAAGAAAGTAAAGGACAAAAAAGAAAAAGATAAGAAGGACAAGAAGGACAAGGATAAGGATAAGAAGGATAAAAAAGGCAAGGCAAAGGCCGAATAAGTATATTAAAATTAGAATTTAATTGTTTTTCTGTGGTATATATATATAAAATAAAAACTTGTTAGAGTAAATTATTTCCAAACTAAGATTTTTGTGTATGTATAATAAATGAATAAATTAAATTTTTTACACAAAATTTAGACACGTGGTTTAAACTTATTGGGTTTCCAAAATTATATACATGACACAGGAGCCGAGACCCTGGAATTAATATTGTGATGATGAATTTATATTGTCTATTTTGTTTGCTTTTACTTCTTAGTATTATTATTCTTGTTTGGGTCGACCACATTAATCGTCAACAATCATCGAACATCCATCAAAAAAAAATTTCTTTTTAGAAAATAATTTACACAAATTTATACAAAAAAGTTCATTAAGACAAAGAAGTAAAACCTTATTTTGATTTCTTGTTTTGCTTGTTTTTCTTGTTTATCTTGTTTATCTTGTTTAACGTGAATTTATAGTTTGAGACTATTCCCTTTATGGAATCAATGGGATCCATGGGAAGAGAGAATATTTGAATTTTATAGAATTCTATTAATTCTATTAGAGAATGGCTGAACACTGTATCACTCAACTTAGCAAAAATTTATTCTTGGGTTGATTTCTTGGAATGACGAGTTTTAGCATTGCATTGTACTTACCTCTCGCGTATCGTACCATTACATAAAAAATAATTTAGCAAAAACAATATTTATAATGACATTTTTAGAAAGAATGGACACGTTCTAAAAAGACAAACTATTATCTCGTTTTTTTTTTATAAATGGTGATGATTGAAAACGCGCACAATTAAAAAAAAAAATAATTAAATTTTGAATTTTGAATTTTCCTTATATATAAAAAAAAATTGATTTTTTTTTCACAATGGAAATTTATGAAACTATTAGATTATTTATTTATAATTATGTCATTCCACTCGTAGCAATATGTATCTTTGGACTTCTTTTTTTAAGAAATAATAAAGAAGTAAAAGAAAGAGAAATAATTGTAAGAGAAATAAGAGTAACCGAAAAAGAAAAAGAAAAAGATGAAGAACAATTAAATGAAGAGCAAGTAAACGAGAAAGAAGTCCAAGAAGTTAAAGAAGTCACAGAAGTTAAAGAAAGAGAAATCAAAATACAAGAAAACGAAATCAAAGAAGTCATAGAAGTTAAAGAAAAAGAAAACGAAGTTAACAAAGTTAACGAAGTCAAAGAAAAAGAAGTTAACGAAATTAACGAAGTCAAAGAAAACGAAGTTAACGAAGTCAAAGAAAAAGAAGTTAACGAAATTAACGAAGTCAAAGAAAACGAAGTTAACGAAGACAAAGAAACAAAACAAGAAAAAATCAAAATAAAAACTGTGACTTCAATCTTAAAAAAAAACGATTATGTCGAATCTCCTGTGAGCGATAAATCTCGGGAATTTTTTCCTCGCTCAACTCAGCTGGCTAATTCTTCAGTTTCGTCTTTACCCGATTTGTCCCAATTCGTCTTTACTTCTAAAGATATCACAATCGCTAAAAGTTCCTTGGATTTAGTACTTAAATATTTCAAAGAATCTAAACTTAATCGAGATATATGTTCTAAAGGATTAGAAATTGCTCAAAGAAGTAAATTAATATTCGATGGAATTGCAAAAGAAATTTTGAAGCGACAACAGTCTTCTTCGCTACCAAAAATAGCCGACACAGAAGCCACCACTACAGGTGCCACCGCTACAGGTGCCACCACTACAGGAACTACCACTACAGAAGCCACCACTACAGGAACCACCACTACAGAAACCACCACTACAGGAACCACCATCACAGAAACCACCACCACAGAAACCACCACCACAGAAACTAAACTTAAACTTTCTCTGTCTTCCAAATTTTCTCAATCTCAACCGCCTACAAATTTGACACCCTCAACTTCTGGAAGTTTCGAAAGTTTCGTCGAACAATGTGATCAATTTTATAAATTTGGTGATTGTCTATGGAATATTTCTACTTTCTTTAGTTATTCTATAAATGAAGATCTTGAGGTAACTTTTCGAACGTATAAAATATAATAATTTTATGTTAACACTTTTAATAGTATTTATAATAATAATAATATTTTTTATATTTTTATAAATGTTTTTTTAGATGAGAGAAAAGATTTTAGATCTCATTGAAGAATTAGACACTGCCACTATTGAATTAAATGAAAAGATAGAAGAGTGGAAGTTGAAAAATGGTAGTAGATGGGGTAGCGTTAGAAATAAAATCAAAGTATTAGCTAAATTTTCAATAATGAGAAATAATTCAATCGCGCTTTTAAAGGAAAAAGATATTAAAGATTGTAAAATTCCAGTGGATATATTAAAAACTCAGAGACAAGATATTGAAAATTCTAGTGATACTATCACCAACAATTCAGATGATAATAAACCAATATTAAAAGGAAGTAGAAATCATATTCGACAATATTGGTATGTAGGGTGTAAAAGAGTAGCTGTAAAAGAGGTGGGAAAATTTGAGAATGACGATAATAAAATCTCCGAATTAAAGAAAGAAGTCAATTTTTTGATGGATTTAAATAAAAATTCTCATATTTTGGAATAGTAAGTATATATATATATATTTATAAGTTTTCTTTTATTTTCTATTATTCTCTACCATTACAATTATATTTAATTACGTGCTTCTTTTTCTCTTTTCATCCATAGTTTTGGATATTGTCAAAGAGAAAATAATATTTTCTCGGTAATTTCTCAATGGGGAGATTATAATTTACAAACTTATCTTGCTGAAAATATTGATTTGATTTGGGATGAAAAATTAAACATTTCTCGAGGAATTTCTGACGCATTAACTTATTGTCATGGTCTAAATATTTTGCATTATGATATTAGAACGTTAGTATATCTTTTTAAATCCTCATGCATTAATATATTATATAATCTTAAACTAACTTTATTATTAACTTCATAAACTTTATTAATTTAGAAATAATGTATTATTGGACCATAATCTTCAACCAAAACTTTATAATTTCCGAATTGTTAAAGAATCTCCTGTAGTTCTAATTTCAGAAAATTCACCAATTGATGATTATAGGTAATTTAAATTTTCATTCGATTAAATTTTATTAATTCGTTCAATAAAAATATTCATTATTTAAATTATATTTTCTATAATAATAATAGATATAGTTCACCGGAGAGAATTCGAGGCGAAGCATATACTACTGCTAGCGAGGTTTACAGTTTCGCAATGGTAATGTGGGAAATTCAACATCATCAATTACCGTATTCAAATTCAACTCCTGAACAAATCAATTCGAAAATCTTGGCGGATGAAAAACCTGAATTAGAACCAAAAGTTGGTACTCCGGTTGAATATCAACGTATAATTGAAGAAGCTTGGTCATATGCACCCGAAAAACGTCCTAGAATGTCATCTATATTTTCTCGTTTGGATGTATTAGATTCTTCTTATCTTTTCGGGCTGAAAGTTATAGAGCTAATCGGTTCTAAACAAGAAGAAAATGAGAGTATTTCTGATGTTTCTTTTTCTGATGATTCTGATCATGAAATTCTATTGGAAACTCAAGAGGAATCTGACCAATTAAAATTACAAGATTCCGAAATTCCGAAGGATACTGAAAGCTCGGACATTGATGTCAAAGACTCTGATAAAACGACATTAACAAACCGAGAAATTCAAGAATCTGATCAGTTAAACGTACAAGATTCTGAAATTCAAAAGGAAACCGATACAGAAGATGATGATAAGGAAATTGATGCCGAGAAAATTGATACCAAGGACATTGATGAAGCATCAACAACAAACAGAGAAAATAAAGAGAAATCCGAACAATTAGAAGTAAAGGCTTCAATTAAAAAAGAAACTGAAGGTTCCGTTCCCGAGAAAATCGAACTTATCTCCAATACATCAATAATTAAAGAAAAATTCGAATGGGATAGAGTCAAATCTCCTGAAATTCTTCAAGGAATTAAATTACATGAAGAACGAAAATATAGAAAAGCTTGGAGTATCTTTAAAAGCTATGAATCTAGAACTGATGATCCTGAAGGAAAGTTCTGGGTAGGATATTATTATCTTAAAGGTCATAACGAAGGAAAAAATCACGGAAATCCGCAAAAGGCTGTTGAATATTTAAGTATGGCAGCTAAACAAGGTCATTCCGACGCTCAATATCATTACGCTAGAACTTTATTAACTAGTTGGGCAGGAAAGGAAGATGAAGCAAATAGATATAGACCTGCTTTAGATCTTTTGCGAAAATCAGCTAAACAAAATAATCCCCTCGCATTAAAAATGTTAGGAGGAATTATCAAAAAAGGATCATACAATCAAAAAAGAGATATTATTATGGGAAATGCTATGATTGAAAAGGCTAAAAGTATTTTATCTGCAGAATACGAAAAAAAGAATAGAGGTGGCATGGACTTTTTTAGGAATTCAAGAACGAATTCGAGAGCAGAAACATTGGATGATGTTATAAGAGAATGTGCAGTGGGGATAGATGATCTTTTGCAAAGAACTATAGAAGATACAGTTGTAACGGAAGCAATAAATATGACGAGAAAACCTAGTACGAAAAAAACTGGAAGTACTACAGGATACGAAAAAAAGAATAAATCCGGATTTTCGAGACCGAATTCGAGAGCGAATTCGTCACCAGAAACATTGGACGATATTGTAAAAGGTGCAGTAGGAATAGATGATGTTTTGCAGAGAACGATAGTAAATACGGAAGCAGTAAATATGACGAGAAAGCCTAGTACAAAAAGAACTTTTAATAAAGAACCATCCAGACTTTCGAGACCGAATTCGAGACCAAATTCGAGACCAAATTCGAGACCGAATTCGATTGTGAATTCATCAAAAACATTGGATGATATTTTAAAAGGTGCTGAAGGGATAGATGATCTTTTGCAGAAAACAATAGAAGATACGGAAGCAGTAAATATGACTAGAAAACCTAGCACGAAAAGAACTTCTAATAAAGAACCTTCCAAAAATTCGAGACCAAATTCGATTGTGAATTCATCAAAAACATTGGATGATATTTTAAAAGGTGCTGAAGGGATAGATGATCTTTTGCAGAAAACAATAGAAGATACGGAAGCAGTAAATATGACTAGAAAACCTAGCACAAAAAGAACTTCTTCCAAAAATTCTAGACCAAATTCGATAGCGAATTCATCAAAAACATTGGATGATATTTTAAAAGATGCAGAGGGGATAGATGATCTTTTGCAGAAAACGATAGAAGATACGGTTGTGACGGAAGCGATAAAACCTATCAAAAGAACTGTAAGCGTTAAAAAATAGTTTAAAAATAAGTAAATATTAAAATTAGTAAAATTAGTAAATATTTTTAATTTAGGTTAATTAATCATTTTTATTAAAAAAAATAATAAATAAAGTCAATTACAAATATCTTTAATATCTTTGATCTGTTATATTTACGTTTATGCATGTATATAAAATTAACTAATAAATAATAAATAGATTCTCTTAATTATAACTATTTAACCAAATATTATCATAAATACAGAGTCGACTTTAAAAATTTGCTAAACGTAAAAGGTTAACTTGCTTCAAACATAAAAATAACTATTAATTGTTTAATTTACAAACAAATTATCAATATAAAGAATATAAAGAAATCTTTTTCGAAAACCAATGTTTAATAAATTTTTGTATAGCCATAAAAGCTCCAATTTGGTCTTCAATAGAGGCGGAATTTTACTCGTTCAAAAATCATTTAGAAAAATTATCAATCGTAATTGTTCATTATTCAAAAAGTTTTTCCCTTCCCCCCTCTTTTATAAAGATTTCTCTAAAATGACCCAGTTCTCAAATACCATCGCTGAAACTCAATACGCGAAGAAAGCATCCCATTATATCAATATTTTGAATGATCTTCGACGCATAGGTGCGCATTCTGCAGTTGACTTACCTACCATAGTCTTTTGTGGTAATCAATCTGCAGGAAAAAGTTCTTTACTAGAAGCAATTTCAAGTGTTCAGGTAAAATTGTAATATAAAAGATACTATAATCTTTTATTTTCTTTTTTTTATAAAAAAATTGAATTTTTACATAGCTACCCAGATCTGATGGAACTTGCACTCGTTGTGTAATGGAATTACGCTTAATTGAATTAGAAACAGAATGGTCTTGTCAAATTTCTTTACGTCAAGAATATGATGAAATAGGAAATCGTCTTTCTCAACCTATTGAAGCTAAATTTGGAAGTTTGATTAAATCTCATAAGGAAGTTGAGTTAATGGCTCGTAGAGCACAAAAAGCTTTATTGAATCCTTCCAAAAACAGTGATGATTATCTTTATTGGAATTTTGGGGCACATTACGATGATGATGCCAACAATGAACTTAAATTTACCAAAAATGTGGTTTGTTTAGAGATCAAAGGAAAGAACGTACCAAATTTAAGTTTAATTGATTTACCTGGAATCATTTGTAAGTAAACAAAAATTAAAATATGTATTATTACCATTTACCTAACCGAAGAGAAAAATATTGTAGAAAGCAGAAGATATAAAATTCATCAATTTGATTGAAGAACTCGTAAAAGAATATATAAAAAAAGAACAGTCAATAATAATTGCCACTATCACATGCCGTGATGAAATTGATAACCAACTCTCGCTAAGGAAGCAGATCCTGCAGGGCGTCGTACACTTGGAGTTCTAACCAAGCCAGATACTATCGAAGCAGAAACACATGATATTTGGTTAAAAATTTTAAGAGGAGAATCTCATAAACTTTCCCTCGGATACTATATTGTTAAAAATCCAAGCAAGATACAATTAAATAATCAAATAACTTTTGAAGAAGCAAGAAAAGATGAAGAAAATGTTAATTTCATGTTTCATAATTTTTCTATAGTTCATTATAATTTATTATAAATTTTTATTAAATATTTAAAATATTAAAATATTAATATTTTTAGTTCTTTAAAAGAGAATATCCTTGGAAAAATCTTAACCTAAGTGTTAAAAGGTTGCAATACAAATTGTCTGAATTGTTGATTCAAGCCATCAGGCGTAACCTTCCTAAAATCAATAAAGAAGTTGAAGAAAAATTAGATGAGGCATGTGGATAAAATACTTTATATTAGTTAATGAAAAACCTATCTTAATAATTCTATACATATTATATATTTTCCTGACAGATACGTCGAGAATTAGAAAATGTACCAGAACAACTTAGTGAAAACTCAAAAATTGAAATATACAGAATGGTGAAAAAATGTGTGAATATGATTGAAAAAGAAACATCATCTTCTGGAAGCTACAATCTTTTGCAAATGATTAATACTAAATTTAGTGAATTTAATAATAATCTTTGCTTATCTCGACCAATTTTCGTTATTGGTAAAGAATCAATTAAATTTGACTTTTTAGAAGATAAGCTATGCAATCCCCAACCAATTAAGTTGAAAGAGATCACAGGGAAACGAGTTATGGAAATAATTGCTAATTCTCGTGGGAGACTAATTCCAGGTTTCATTCCATACTCATCAGCAATAAAAATTATTAAAGATACCCAAATTAAATGGAAATCTTTATCACTTGGATGTTTAAATGAAATTTATAAATTATGTTTGATTTTGTGAATGATGCGATTAATAAAACATTTTCGAGATTTCCACTTTTAGATGTGGAAATGAAGTAAGTGAATTTTTTTTTTTTATTATTCTATTAAATCATTCTTTTTCTTAACATTATTTTTTATTTTAGGATTCGTGCAAACAAATTGCTAGATAATTGTAAAGAAATCACGCTAAAATACATTGATTTCATATCTGAAATGGAAATTAACCAACCATTTACAATAGATGAAAAATCAATTACTATTTTGAAATCATCTTTTCTCAAAAAACTTTATGCAACAGGTGAACGGAGCGAACCAACTGATGCTTTAGATATTATTGCATCCCTTCTGGCATATTTCAAGATAGTATTCAGAAGGTATGCTGACACAATTGCTATGACAATAGTCTATGCATTTATTGATGAATTTACGAAGAGAATTGAAGAAAAGTTAATGGAAATCTATGTTAATGAAGAAGAACAATTTGATATTGGAGAGTTGGTTCAGGAGGATCATAATGTTAGTTTCCATAGAGAGGATTTGCGTACAAGGGAAAAACATCTGAAAAATGTTTTGGATAGTCTCAAGAAATTTGGAATAAAATGAATAATATTTTATATTCCTTGTTCAAGACTCAACTCATTAATATTATGAAATTGTATATTACTAAATATGATATTACTTCTTTTCCCTTTGAATATTAAAAAAAACTGAATATCAAGTAGACAATGAGTTTCTTTAATATTCTAATTCTTATTATAAAGAGTGCTAATAACTGTATTTGAGGAAAACATTAATGATTTATTTTAAATGATTACATACTGATCTGCTTTAATTTAAACAAAAGCTTTACTTTATAATTCCAGTGATCAAATAAAAATAAAATAAAATAATATAATATAATAAATAATATATAATAATAACAAAATCAAATAAAACATATTATATTTAAAACTAAAGATAAATATTTAATTCTAAAATATTATTCAATTTGAATTAAATTTACATTCCATTTTTTGAGTTTCATTTTCTTCATCTTCAACTATAAAAATAAAATATAGTTAGCAAACTTTTTATCAAATAAATAATTAAAGAGATAAATTTACCAATTATTATTTTTTTTTTTTTTTTTTATATCCAACGGAGTCTTGCTCCAATAAACTTTATTAATAGATTAAGTGTAAATTTTAAA